CTCCGTTGTGCGTTATTTATTTCCAGTATTCCTTATTCTATATTCCCTGTCCCTTATTCGTTTTATTGCGCTCAGCCCCTAATAATATGCATGCAACATTAATTTCTTTACAGGTCTTACTTCGGGTTGTCAAAATAAAATATTAAGTCCCGGTTGCATCCACGTTATTATTATTAGCAAGTCTTAAATATATGTCTATCTTTATTAATTCAGAAAGAAAGATAAAGATTGATAGATGTTTAAGTTTAGCTTAAAGCCAAAATAATAGTGCAACCAGGCCTGACTCTTATTATTCATACATTACATTTTCATAAAGTATTGTGTGTCACTGTTTGTTATAAGAATAATATTAATATATACAATATATCTCACGTCCAGATATATTGTATATAATATATAATTCACTGTGATTTCTATAACCGTATTTGTCACTTACCGAATGATTTTTCATAATTATTAGAAAGATTGTTACTAATTGTATACCGAAATGTAATATCAAAGAATACGATATTCTTATTATTGTACTCAGTATCTTATCATTTTGTCTTACAATGGTATTTTAGCCATTTTTTGTGCGTTTACGTCAAATGTCATTACGACAAATGTCAATGTGAAAGGACAATAGTCGGATCTTGTATTCCAAATTATAAAAATTTTTTAATCAGAAACCGTTACCAATTTAATTATTTGTGCAGCATCCAAAAATTAACTTAAGACAGTCTGAAATATAATATCCGACTGTGAATACCGTACGTATGTTTCCTATTTTGAGCCTTCCGATACAACACAGATCTTGCAGCAATATTAAAAGTTGCAGCAGTGTTGCCGCAATATTGCTGAAATGTTGCTACAAGATCTGTGTTGTATGGGTTCAGACCATTATTAATATAAGATTATTCTAGTATATATAGTATATATAAGATTATTGTATCAATATAAGATAATTAATGAATACTACTATATATCCCATATGGCACGTAATAATATATAAGGTGTAGTAAAAAGAAATCCATTATTTTTCCAATAGATGGCTTTAGTAATGTGTATCTCGCGTTGTATAAGTGCGATCGGTTTACGCTAGATGGCGTTAGAAAGATAAGATTTCGTACTAAAAAAACTTCTCAGACAGTTTTGTGATTGTTTGACTCAGTATTGTTTGAGCGCGCGTCAAAGATGGACACCAGCAAAGAGAAAATACGCCATATTTTACAGTTTTTCTTCGATAAAGGCGAAAACGCAAGCCAGGCGGCTGAAAATGTGAATAGTGTTTATGGTCCTGATACTGTAACAGCCAATCACGCGCAATTACTATATATATATATATATATATATATATATATATGATATAGCTAATAGTGAAATATTAATGGCACATAAGGAGCTAGCACGGATGACTTAGTGCTATTAAATACTAAATAATTTTAATATTAATACCATTTATAGAAATATT